GCTGGGACTTCCTTCGGACTCGTGGGCCAAGGCCGGCGCGTACCATGAAGTCCTGACTCATGTAGTTGCGAGATGCTCCGCAATCAATCAAAGCGTTGCAGGTCGCCTCTCCGATATGAATGGGTACATATAGCAATGGTGCGTCGATGTCGTCGTACCGTTGCATCTTGAACTCGCGGTCGATCTTTGCAATGTAAGCGTGAAGGTTGACAACCTCTACTCCGACGTCCATCAACGGAGTCGGTACTGCAGTGTGCAAGTAATCCCGCAATTGTGCTTTGAGCACGTTGCAATGCGGTTTCGGCAATCGATCGGACCGGGGCAGGGGCATCCATTGGAAGTCCTCTAAAGTCAAGGGGTCGAGTTCTTCAAGACTTGACCATGACGTTGAATCCCCGGCGGTAGATGACGGCGAAGCTGCCGAATTGGTTGCCGATGGTGATGAAACCGTGCATGCGGTAGAGTGTTGCACGTGGAGCGGTTGGTCCAGCGGTGGGACCAAGTGGACAGCGTAATCCTCGTAAGTGTACCGAGGACTTGCGACATGCGCATCCTCCCCAGATGTGTAGGAGGCCGCTAGCAAGGCGGCCGGATCTGGTGGAGTGAGAGGTGGAGTCGCCTCACCTCCTGCGCAACTCATTTTCCCGAGTTAAGACGAGGCCGCACATCCTCCTTGGGCTGATCCTGGCAAATGGAGGTCTTGTGCTTGGTGCTGTTGCACCAGTAACAGCAGCCGTAACGGTTGCGGTACTTGTACTCGGCCTCGGTCAAGCCGAACTTGACCCATGGTGGTGCTGGCTGTCCATTTCCGGCCGGCGATGCTGGTTTCGCCTTCCCGTTCACTCGGGGCTTGTTGCTTCGCGGCTGGACAGCAGCCACCTGATCTCCCTCACGTGATCCTGGAGTGGCTGCTGGGTCTTCTCCACTGTCCGATTGGACTGCAGCGAACTGCTGCTGTCGTGGACCAGTTCTCACCTTCTCCACATAAGTCGGCTGCCACGTTGACTTATCGTGTGCAGCTGCCCTGTTGGTCTTGATGATCTTTCTCGCCTTGTCAATGATCTCGGCGAAAGTGGTATACTGCTCGCGATCACCAAGTGTCTGGCTCAGCGCAGCGCATGACCTGTTGTAGAACTCATGGCGTAGATGCGTGAATGGTAAGTCCAGATCGGGTACGGTCACGATCTTCTGCCATTCCGTGAGTCAGTCACGTGTTGCTATGTTGACCTGAGACATGGTGAAGAGACAGTTGATGGCGAGTGCTGGTGCGTCGTCGACGATGAACTGCTTCTTCCACAGCTGCGTTAACTCTTCCCATGTAATCTTGTCTTTCAGATCCGCGACGTCGACGCCGTGGGTGGCTGCCAGGTGGGTTAACCAAGTCTGGCATCCGCCCTTTGAGTTAAGGAACAGGGCGCCGATGTACGCGTGCTTGGTGACAGGCAGAATCCGCAGTTGCGTCGTGAATGTCCCCTGCCATTCCGTGAGCCAGTCACGTGTTGCTATGTTGCCCTGAGACATGGTGAAGAGACGGTTGATGGCGAGTGCTGGTGCGTCGTCGACGATGAACCGCTTCTTCCACAGCCGTGTTAACTCTTCCCATGTAATCTTGTTTTTCAGATCCGCGACGTCGACGCCGTGGGTGGCTGCCAGGTGGGTCAACCAAGTCTGGCATCCGCCCTTTGAGTTAAGGAACAGGGCGCCGATGTACGCGTGCTTGGCGACGGGCAGAATCCGCAGTTACGTCGTGAATGCTTCCCACCAGAGGACCGGATCCTGATGTGTGTAGTCGTCCAACTTTTCCAGTTGGAAAGTTGGCATCTTGTACAGCATTGGATTGCCATCCGAGTTCGTCGACTGCAGTTGTTGGACCTTGGTCTTCAATGTTTCCAGCTGGCTGCTGATGGTGGTTGGCGCCGCGAAGTTGCTGATGTCGCCCAGCATTGCCACAACGTGGTCAACACGTTCCTCCAGTTGGCGGCTAGAGGGTGCACTGCTGGAAGCCCCAGCATCTGGTCCTGGTACAGCCTGTTCCAGGTCCAGTACACGGGAATTGAGTGCTTGTGTTGCGCCTCGTGGCTCTACACTATCCGGTGGAGGTTCGCCAACTCCTGGTGCTGTGTCTTCAGATCCTGGTACTGTTGCTGCAGTTCCTGGTTCTGTCTCTCTAACTCGGACTGTTGGTAGTTGCCTGCATACAACAACCGTGTCACGAGTTTGGAGAGGAACTCCTTATGCTGCTCTTCCGGTGTTGTGTCGTTGCCGTTCGGTTCAAAGTGCCAGAACTTGAGTCTCTCGATGCTGTTGGCTTCATGCCGCTGCAGCAGATCCTGGGCTTCCTTGCGGCGAGCCTGGGCATCTGCGTCTGCTTTGGCCTGTAGCCGCAGCTTCTCTGCTGTTGTCGCTGCTTCGGCCTGTAGGCGGGCAGCCTCGGCTGCCAGCTGGCGTTGTTCCTCAGCCTCGATGAAAGCGAGCTGAGCTTGGAAGCGCTGTTTGTAGTCGGCAAGGGACTCATTGGCCAGTTGGCCTGGCAGGCCCGTTGCTGGACCCGTCATGCTGACGTGGCACTGCTGTCGTGGCACTGTTGCTTACGTGGCACTGTGACGTGGCACTGCTGACGTGGCACTGTTGCTTACGTGGCACTGTGACGTGGCACTGCTGACGTGGCACTGTTGCTTACGTGGCACTGTGACATGGCACTGTGATGTGGCACTGTTGCTTACGTGTCACTGTACCAACTTGGAAATGCATGCAAAGGGTGGGTGGGGAGGGAAAACACAGGTAGGAAACCAACCCAACAATACTTTCCTCCCGGCCCTAATCAAC